AAAAAAAAAAAAACTATGCTCAAATTTGCTATGCATTTTAAATACAATCGCATTCGTCAGTTAGAATTGAAATGTTTAATTAAAATAGATCTTTCACGGTTTTCACCAATATATAATGCATGCGACCAACATAAATGCATGATTTCTTTTCGATTCCACTATGCAAAGGTAGACTCATAATCGTCAACAGAAAGTTCATACATTATTTACATGCAAAGTCAAATATCGAAAGTAACTTTTATTAGTTATGGTAATATATTAACATAGTATATTAACAGCATGCTATGTTATCGTAGTATCTAGTATTAGAAATTCAAGCGGTTCCTCATTCGCTACGTTCCTTTCTACCTTTGATCGATGCATATTTATGATCGTTCGTATCTAAATAAATCTAAATATTAATAAATATTATTAAACTTTCATATCGATGTTCAATTCAGTCACGAATGATCACTTTAATTATCTTCGTTGTTTTTGGAGATACAAAGAAGATATATTTATTTATATTATGGGGAATATTATTTTTTAGTTTGTTTTTCACAATATTGAGCATTCATTGATCGATTAATAGATTAATATTATTACTCTGATTGCCGCGTGTACCAAACTTGCACGCCAAATAAAGTTTCGTTATTTTTAATATATATTTTTAATATATATTTAATATATATATATATATATATATATATATTCGTATATTTTTAATATGAATAAAGTTATTCTTTTATTATTATATTATATTATATTATTATATCGTGTATTTTCTGGTTTTAATGTCTATTGTAATAATAAATAAATTTCAAGCTCTCAAAAAGAAAATATGTAGAATTTTACATATTTTTCAAACTCTACATCGCATACCATCTCTGGTATACGCGGCATTTTGAGATAGTTCTCAAAACTGCCTCGGTATTAAAAGAAATTTAAATTAAAAGTTTTAAGAAATAAATGTATAAACTAATTACTATATCTTTCACCACTCACCTGAAAGAGGTTTAAAAAGGTGTGTCTTAAAGCCAATTGTGCACGTATAACGTGCACCACACACGTAGTCATAACAGCTGGTGTGCGAGTTGCGTTCGCTTAACCCTTTTGTGACTAGGAGACGACACATGTCTCACGAAATATATTGAATCGTACTTTTCAGACTTGATTCGATTAGTTTAACTATCTATGATATACCAAATTTATTTATGCATAATCGTACTGATGGAATTTACTGCCTTAAAAATGATATGTATTTTGTAGCACATTGATGTTATTTTTCATTATTTGCGTAGAAAAAGTCTGTTCGAGATCGAAGCAAACATATGATCGAAAGATTAAATGAATATTTTAAGAAGTTTGGATTACTAAATAGACGAACTTTTGGTTTACAAGGTTTTCATTATTTAAAATATTTTTAAATTTTACATTTAAAAAACTGTTCAAGGAATTGTGTTGTGATCACAAAAAAGTTATGTTTTCAAAGAATGAATGATAAAAATCAAATCAGTGCGAAAAAATATTTTTATTTACCCGTGTTTTATGTTGTTCAACGCTGGTGGCTTGAAGAGGTTGAACAGAGACTTGGTGGAGGCTGAGAATCTATAATGAACGAAAATGCAAACGAAAACCATGCGGTGCAAAACAAAGAATAATTGTAATATGGATAAGGAAAAAAGAAAGAGACAGAAAGGAGAAAAGAAACAGAAATATCGTGACGAAATTACGTATTCTTTTCTTTTCCATTGAACGATTCGCGCATTCTCCCCTGCGATGAGGAGAATTATCCACTTCCGGGGCATTCTTTCGATTCAGTTGTCACCAAAGGGAAGCTCGAGCGAATGGAAAGCAGGCAGGAGACAGTTACACGCTTTTGATGATTAATGAGCTGTGAAGTGAATTCACATCGCGAGACATAATCGATAGTCCGTTGCTCTGCTCGGCACTCTATCGATCGGCAGGTGACGCTTACCTTTCAGCTCGGACTTATCGAGTTATAAGAGTAGAAATATATAAAATCTTAGGATAAGTACAATACTCATTTAAAAATTAGAAAAATTAAATAATATTTTATACTTTATGAAGTGTATAATGTACACATATAGTTTGAAATTTTTATTATCTACGACAAATATTAAAAATAAGAATCAGAAGAACACTTTCTTGAAGATCTTTAATAATTCTGATCGCTCACCGTGACTTCGAATCATTCAAAAAGAAAATTTCTCTCTAATGGGTCTATAAATCAAACGAAATGTTCCGGAGGTTTTTGTTTTTTGTTTTTATTCACATGCATCGTTTGCTTTTATCCAAAAAGGGAAAGCTCGTTCGGCTGCCATGTAACGTAAAACGTTCATAGAAGCGAAAATGTGCACCGAAAGAGGGTTCGAGTCGAGTCAGTGTGCAAAAAAAGAGAAAAATCACGAAAGCAAGCAAATGTGCACTTACTCGTTAATAATGTCGATTCTTCGCTTACCTGTTACTGACAAGTTGCGAATTGTTTCCCTGATTTTGCGGGGAATGTGTAAAGTCTCCTGTTGACGACCATCGTTTTGCCCTTCTTAAGCTGCTTTGTGGTGGTCCGTTTGATCTTGCTGTCGGTGATCTATCGAATAATAGGATTATTCTGTGGTAGAAATGCTCGTTACCTGTGTCACGGAACTCTCACTTCAGGTAGTCAGGATTCGCTTTATCTGATGTTAAATGAAGATTCTCCTGTCGTTTTTCCGATATTATGCAATAATCTCATCGACAAGAAAACCGACATTTCAATAGGAAATCGAAGTTTAAATATCAAATATGTTACACTATTTGATAAACACAAAAAACAACTCAATTTATCGTCTTTTTACCAACTATGACTAATATTAGTGATTACTTAACGTCAATGTCAAGTTTTTCACATATTACATACTATTTTTCTTTCTTCCTATTTTTATATTGATTTAAAAAATTCAAGGAACATGGTGTCTACAGTTTCAGACATGGTTTAATATTCCTAATGATTTTCAACCAGAATAAACTGTTTTTATCAGTTACGTTCTATATAACCGGAAACTCCTCTAAAATCATCTATATAAAATCTGTTTCGTCTTTATCTGTGTGGCTTCAGATAATCTTACAATTAGATGTATCTGTGTGGCTTTAGATTTTGATGCAATATTATACGTTTTTTATGCACTATAATACGTACGTCTTTTGTTCAGATAAAATCTGAAATCTAGAAAATATTCATGCAATTCGGACAGATATCGTTTAAAAGGATTCGAGTCATCTACATTTTGCATTTTCTCTCTAACATCTAGAAATAGAATATAAGTACTACTACATCCACTTCTCATTTTCATGGCTATAAAAAAAAATTATCAAAATA